TGGCAGAACTGGGGATTGAACTCAGGCCCTTGCGCTTGCCAGGGAAGCACTTATTCTACTGAGCTATCTCCCCAGCCCCTAGCCAATACTACTTTGAAAAAGAAGAATGAGAGCATTTCCTGATCTCAAGACTTACTAAACACTACCTTGGTCCTGCCCCTGTAGTGGGGTGGGCACCAAACAGATCAGAGGGAAAGGATCATCTTTCTGATAAGTAATAGTGAAATCATTGCAAATCTATATGCAGGAAAATAGACATCAGTCCATACCCCATGCCATACACAAAATTAATTCAAGTTAAACCTCAGACCTAAATGTAAAACCTAAAAATGCTAAAATGACTGGAAGAAAGCTTAGACAATAAAACCCTTGTGACCTCCAGTCAGGTTGAGATTTCTTAGACATGATATCAAAAGCATGATCCCCAAAGAACAAATCCATAAATTGAACTTTACCAAAACTGAAAAGTTTTGTTTTTCACAAGACACCGTTATGACAATGAAAAAAGAGGGGCTGGGGAGATGGCTCAGTAGGATAAGCGCTTGACTGGCAAACGCAAGGATCTGAGTTCAATCCCCGGTCCCACCAAGAAAAAATAAATAAATAAAACAACTGAGCTAATGGGCAGGTCCTTCTGCTGGTCTTTGGGGGCCCACCCATTAGCTCAGTTGTCTAAGTGCCTGCTTAAAGGAGGCAGTCAGTCTCTGGGAGCAGTGGTTCCATTCCCAGGTACTCAAGGCAACCCAGACCAGTGCTGCTGGAGGTCAATGTGGAGCCACCAAAAAAAAAAAACAAAAAAAAAAAAAAAAACCCTTCTGCAATGAAAAAACAAACCAATTGGAAACAAACTTCTGCAAAGCACATGTCTGATGAAGAACTTGTATGGACACCATGTAAAGAACTTCCCAAACTCAACAACAAACAAGCATTCCAATTTAAACAATCAACAAAGCTTTCATTGCATAGAGAACACTTCATCGAAGAAGACCCAGGGATATCAGGTAACTAGAGGAACGGATTCTTAACGTTGTTAGTCATCAGGGAGACGCAATTGCTCACTGCGCATGCAGTAGAGTGGCTCAGATTACGAAGACCAGCAGCACTGAGATCTGGTACAGGCAGATATACAACTGCCCCTTCTGCATGAAGCTGGTGGGGATTGGAAAGCACATGCTGACCTGAGGACCCCGCTGTTGCCTCGCTCCGAGGTGTCCTACTCAAGCGTGTGTCTACGTGAACATCTGTACGCCGCTATTCACGCAAGCTTTATTTGTAAGCACACCCAACTGGAATCCACCCAGACATCTTTCAAGGAGTAAATGGATCCACACGTTAGCATACACTCATGGCGTGGAACTCTACTCAGCAGCAACCGGGAACCAGCTATTTATAGACACAGCACTACCAGCAGAGCTCGAAACCATTAGGCCGGCAAGAGAAGCCAAACAACAAAAAAAGTACATATGGCCTGATTCTATTTATATAAAACTCTAGAAAATACAGTCTATTTACAGTGAGGAGAGCAGGTGTGGGCTGGCTGGGAAAGGGCTCACCGGGGAGCTGGTGGAGGAGGAGGTGGTTGTAAAGGGGTACCAGCAACTGAGGGGAGTGAGGGGTGCAGCATAATCTTCACTGTGGTCATGGTGGCTTGGGTATTGACATGTACTGAAACTTATCAAGTGGCACAAGTCGGGTATGGTTTTTTTTTTCTGTAGTCCATGTACTTTGTTAAAGGTGTTTAAATGACAGGCACACGAGCCTGACAAATTTCTACATAATTACTGAGAGGATGGCTGGCCTCTTAGTCCTCTAAGTGGGCTTGCCCCAAGAGTCTGTTGCATGAAATGGACTTGGTTTCAATTCTGGGGGAGGGCGGACCAAACACCTGCAGCCAACTCTTTGTCCCCTTCCATAGGGAACTGCATCTGTCACTGATGGAATGGGAGCCACCGTGGGGACCTGGGGAGGATGCAGGAGAAGAATTCTTGGGCCTCAGCCCTTGGTCTCCATCAGGAGGGAAAGCCAATGTGCAGAGCCCAAGCCCAGGTTCCATTCAGAAACAGATGGAAGGGGGGACCCTTGGCAAGAGTCCTGTCCACAGCCTGACCAGGTGACCCTACTACAGACCCCAGGACAGGACTTCCTTCCAAGCCATGTTGTCTGAACCAAGTGCAGGCCGAGGCAAGCACAACCCCAGAGAGGTCACCTGCGGAGATTACCCGTTTGGCTTAGGAAGGCATCCCGCTCTCCTACGCGGCAGACTCGCTCTCATTTTTGACGTTTGGAAAACATTGTGCTGTCCTTGCCCACACACCTTCTGCCTTGTTGGAAGGACCCATCCAGAACTTGAGTTAAATTTTATTGCTTTTGAAACTGTAATAGGAGCTGATTAGGCCGGCAGGGCTGCACCCTCAGGGTGGGATGGGTGTGTCTTTATGAAAGTGCAGGTCCAGCCTCCTGCTCTCTTTCTGCTCTGTGAAGGCACAGCAGGACACTCTCCTCAAAGTGTTGGACTTCCTTGACCCAAAACTATCAAGTTCCTGTTCTTAAATTGCCCAGCCTTAGCTACTGTGTTGTAGCAGCTCAGATGGATCAAGACACTACCTAAGACCCAAGAGCCCTGCCAGGTAGAAGCCCTAAGGCTGAGGATCACAGACATTGTGTATCTGCACATTCGGATTTTGTCCATAATAGATCTACACTATTTGTATCATCAGCCCTCAAAATAAGACCCTGCAGATGAATCCATACAAGGGATGAGTTGCTGATGGGCTTGGGTGGGGGGATGGGCTCCAAGGGACATGGGATCGGCCAGCTCTGTTCAGCAGCAGTGTTCTTTCCCCCCAGAGAGTCCACACTGGGACCCAAGCTGATAGCCTCAGTGTCCACTCAGAGGGGACTGGGCTATGTAGGGAGGTGAACCAGTCTGGACCAGTGGGCCCTGGGACTGCTCTAGTGGTCCTAAGGTCTTGCTACACAGGGGATGGGTGGCCATGAGCCTAGTACCTGGGGTTGGGCTGGGAGTTCCAACAGGGGTCTCAGGGAGGGGAGAGGGGACAGGAGTAGGGAGGAGCCATTGCTGCTTCTGAGGCCAGCTGGACCCGGGTCCTGCCTTTCCCAGCACATTTTGGACCTGTGCGCTGGGCAGTGAGAGCAGAGATGTCCTGGAGGTGCTCAACGACGCTAACCCTTCCCTCCCAGCCCCCAACCTTCTCTTCCCTCGGGTGCAAGGGAAACCCCAGGAATTCCTGGCATTCATTACCAGCAGCTCCCAAGACGTTCAACATGCTCATATCTGTCAAAAACTATTCAGGAAGAAAAGAAAGTCTTTATACCTTTTATTCAGCCAATTTTCCCCGGGGCGCTCTGGGCTCTCTAAGAAAAGAAAGAGAGAAAAGAGAGAGAATCACAATCAACGTTGCCATCGTGCATCTGGATGCTGAAGCTGCTTTTGCTCACAGGCAGCGGAGGCAAGCCCCGCTGCGACGTATGCTCTCCCCAGAAGCCTGCGGGGGGAGGCAGGGCTGCTCCCACCAAGGCGAGCTGAGGTGCTATTGACACCAAAGGCAAAGACAAACAGAATGAAGTGGGACCAGCCCTCCTTCTGCCCAAACTCATTTTCTCTGCAACTCCAAGATGTTCCTTTTGTTTTTCTCCTTTCTTTCCTTGGCCCCAGGCCCTAAGCATCCCTCTCCAACCCTCCCTGCAGCCCTGCCCTGCTCTGAGGGTGTCCACAGGTGCAGACTTTGTGGGTCTTTGGTGGGGATGCTTAGTGCCAGGCAAGGTGTCTTCCTACCTGTCCCACTTGGCACCTGGGGGTAGGCACATCCCTCTGTATCCCTCTGTGTGGTCATGGCATGTAAATGGGTTTTAATGTTATATTAAAGAAAAAGAGATGAATCCTAAATCACATCACATGTGCGCTCACAGAAGAAACCATTGAGTGTCGATGGAAATTAGGTGCAGTTTCCCGGAGTTGCACTGGCAGAAGCACCTGGGAGCTAAGGATGCCGAGGCAGGACCTGGGGGCCCACTTGTGTTTTCACTGAGTGTTGGAGAGCCAGAGAGCTCAGGCTGCTCACCCCAAGTCCCCCAGCGCATTTGGGGGTGGGAGCTGGAAACCTCACACCTGAGCCAGCACCTCTGCTCCTGTCCCTGTCAGGAGATGGCTAGAGCTCAAAGAGGAGGACATGCAGGTGGGCGCACTGGGTGCTTCGCTTAGATTTCCCTTGTGTGTTTTAGTTGTGACTCGTAGTGCCCGCTTTATGAACTTCGCACATTTTTTATTTTATTGTGGCAAAAGATGCATCCCTGGAATTCACCCACTTTTCTGTATGTGGTTCAGTGGCACAAAGTGCATTCACAGAGTTGTGCAGCCGTCGTGACTATCTCATCCCCGGAAGCCCATTGGTGTGCAAGTGTGCCTGGATTTTTAAAGTTACTGTAAAAGTGTAAGCCAGTGAAGGGGTTCTGGAACTGTCTCTTGAGATGGAGAAAAATCACCAGCATCCTCTATATCCAAGGAGACTTTGGGGTAGGCACAGCCCTCCTTCTGCCTCACACCAGCCCAAGGGGTGGGCACTCCTCTTGCCAGCCTCTTTTCACCCGTAAAAGCAGAGACCCAAATTGATGAAGCCCTGCTCAGGAAGGTGTGCCTGCACTGCACCCTGTCACCTGCAGGCAGGAAGATGTGTCCTGCCCTGTGGGGAGTGGGAATTAGAGTGGAGCAGGAAGCCAGGCATAGTGGCACGTGCCTACAATCCCAGCACTCTGGGAGGCTGAGGCAGGAGGACTGCAAGTTGAAGCCCAGCCTGGGAGATTGAGCGATTGAGCAAGACCTTGCCTGTCTCAAAATAAAAATTTTAAAAGAGGGCTAGGGAGTAGTTCAGTGCAAAGGTCCTGGGTTCGATCCCAAGTAGTGCAAAGAAGAAAGAAAGAAAGAAAGAAAGAAAGAAAGAAAGAAAGAAAGAAAGAAAGAAAGAAAGAAAGAGGAGAGAAAGAACAAAGGAGAAGAGGAAAAAGGAAAGAAGATGGAAGGAAGGAAGGAAGAAAAGAAAGAAAGGAAGGATGGAAGGAAGGAAGAAAGAAAGAAAAGAAAGAAAGGAAGGATGGAAGGAAGGAAGGAAGAAAGGAAGAAAGGAAGGAAGGAAGGAAGGAAGGAAAGGAGGGAGGGAGGGGCAGGACTTGTAACTGCGCAGGCTCCCAGGCACACTGCTGGTCTGCGCAAATCACTGCGGCAATGTTTTGCTATTTCATAGACAAACTTGCTCCTCGCCACTGCAGGGGCCCAGGGGCAGCTGAACCAGCACCGGGCAGCTCCTCCCTGAGGCAGCCCCCCTGCAGCCTCTGACCCCTCTCCAGGGTAAGGGCAGAAGCCGCTCCTGCCACCTTGGCTGTTCAGCATGCAGCTTACAAAGCCACTGCATGGGGGCAGGTGTGACCCGGGTTCTGCCAAACAGCAGTCATTTCAAAATGAGACGAATTGAACAAGGAGCTTCCCCCAGCCGCTGCTTTCAGCCGCGATTCTAGGGATATTCTTGTTGATTTATTTCTTAGTTTCCTTTCATAAAGTGAGTCGTCCTCCTGACTCACTATGATTCCCTTCCATTCCAGCCAGGCTCAGTGAGCAAACACACTGCTGGGGGTGGGTCGAGAGCCAAGTGCCAGGGCCAGAAGGGGGCCTGCTGCGGGAACGGAAGCCGCTCACCTCCGGCAGGGATGAGCTTCCAGTCTGCTCCCTGTTCTCTCAGCTGCCCCCCTCGCTGTACAGAAAACGCTCCCCGGGAAGAAGCCACGTCCTGGAGGTGCCAGTCTCCCTAGAGGGCAACACAGGGCTGCCTTTATCTAACTCCACCTGAGTTCGGCTCTCCCAACGGCTCCAACCCTGCTCTCTTCTACCTTGTTCTTCAGAAATTAAGCTGGGACTGTGAGCATGACCTGGGCATGTGAAGAACACGTCTATTAGCTAAACCCATTGTTAGTGTGACCATGCAAAACCTTCTGCCTGAAAAAAATGCCTCTGTGTTGTAACCCAAATCACTCCGTTGTTCATCAGTGGCTTTTCTCTGGCATCCTCAGTGGTGATGACCTGGACCTGCCTCTCCCGTTCTGGGCAGTGCCCACGTTCCCCACTCCTGATGGGCGGGGGAGACTTTAGGACTGGTGGGGCCTCTGGTGCTTTGCTGACTACAGCCCCACTGGGCATACTGGAAAGGACACGGCCACCTGGTCTGTACCATTCAGAGCACTCACCCTTCCTCTTCTGCTCTTTTCAACTTCTTTCTGTAACTCAGTGTGTTCTGGGGCTAGGGTCTCAGGGAGGGTGAGGAGGGACCTCTGTGGTATTGCCAGGTCCTACAGGGGCTCCCCAGAGTTGGGAGGGACCTGGGCAGCCCTCAGTCCCCATGGCAGAGGGCATATTCGAGGCCCCGTCTCCTCCCCACAGCCCAGCCCGCTGAGAGGGACAGGCGGTGTGGGGGTGAAAGGGCAGCTTGGGAAACCCGCCCCTTCACTGCTTTCCTGTGTTACTTTGGATTTTATATTAGATCCATTTTTGCTGTCTTCTTACAGGGAATTGGAGGCAAAGGGCGCAATTTTACAAATAAAAAATTAACTGCGGGTGGTTTAAGTGCAACTTTTGATGATGCAGATCACAACAAGAGAGCCGCAGCAATCCTAAGTTTTTCTTCTTCGGAAGGGAGAAGGGGAAGGAGAGAGGCCCTAGTCTGTGGGCCTGAGCCGATGTCAGGGAAGCCCGGAAGCACGGGCAGGCTCTGGCCCTCAGCAAGGCCACTGGGATGGCTTTGGGTGCTGGGCACAGGGTCTCACTCAGGTCTGTGGGAGGGGCCGGCTCTCCTGGGTCCTAGACAATAGGGCTGGAGTGAGTTTGCTCTGTTGCCCTGTCACCCCAGCCTCTCTCTCTAGGGAAGTCCAGGCAGGGCTTGGCCACCACCTGCCCTGAGCCCCCCCTTGAGGTTCAGGCCCCTTGGCCTGCACAGGTGCCCCTGGAGCCCCCATGACCAGAGCACCCATGGTACAGCCTGTGTGGGCTGCATGCCACAGAGCTACTACCTGGGCATTGGGCTCTTCTGGTGACCTGCCTCGGTGAGTGCAAGTCTGAGGCCTGGAGAAGTGAAGCAATTGGCTCAAGCCCTGTAGCCAGTTGGAGCGGGGGCTGCATTTGATATAGACCTGCTTGGCCTCTCTTTGTTCTGTGCTCTGCTCTGGCTGGGACGGACTGGGATGGAGCCCAGAGCTTCTGTACTCAGAGAAGAGGCTGCACGCATCCTCAATGGGGGATCTGCCCCCAGACCCTGCATAGGAGCAGCCCCACCTCTCTGTCTGAAGATCCCTGGGCCCATGCCCTTCTCTGCGCTGGGCTTAGCAAGGCCCATGTGCCCTTTCCAGGGGCTGCTGTTAGAGACCAGACATGGGAATTGAGATCAGCGGCATGAGGGCACCTCACTGCCCTGAGTAGGCAGGATCTGAAGAGACACCTTTTTGTACAAACCTATGGACTAAAGTAACTGCCTACAGGGACTGTTGGGTGGACACATCTGAGTGGCATCTGCAGCATCCAAGCAGTGCCATGGACACCTCTGGGCAGCCCCTCTGTGCCCACAGGGAGCAGCTCTGCAAACTGAAACCCAGCTTAGATGAGTCCAGGCCCAGATAAGAAGTCACAGCACCACCCAGCTGATGGCACCAGGAGAACCAGAGGCCCTGGAAAGAGCTAGAGGGCCCAGAGGTTTGGGGCCTTGCACACTCCCAGATGGCCTCTGGCTTCTGGCATATGCGTGAGATGCCAGCTGTGCTGGTGGAAGAGTGCCCCTCCAAATTTGTGTACCCCCAGAACCTCAGGGTGTGACCTTACTTGGAAATATGGTCTTTGAAGGTATAATTGGCTAGGATGAGGTCAAACTGAATTAGGGCCTGAAATCCAGTGACTAATGTCTTTGTAAGAAGAAGACCTTGGATACACATAGAGGCCAAGGCCACATGAAGGCCTCACAGAGGCTAGAATGGTATGTCCATGGGCCAGGGAGGCCAAGGATGCCCACACTCCCCAGAGACTGGGAGAGTACAGAAGATCCTTCTTGGAGTCTTCTCGCTCCAGAACTAGGAAAGAATATGTTTCTGATTTTGCTGTACTAGGGATTGAACCCAGGGTCTTCATACTGAACTACATCTCCCCCAGCCCCCACATTTGTATTTTAATTTTCTTTTTTATTTTATGTATTTGGTACAGCTCACTACACAGAACAGACTCAGTAATCCTCCTGTTTCAGCCTCCCCAATGCTGGGGTTACAGGAGTGTGCCACCATGCCTGGTCTCAGTGTTCTGCTCGGTTTGCCTGGAGTGGGGTTGAACAGCA